TTTAATTATGATATTGGATATTCATTCCAATAATTTCACTATTAAATCAGATCATTACTATAATTTCTATTACATATGGGCCATTTATATAATATCGTAATTATATGAGGACCATTTATGTAATATTTCTATTACATAGAGACTATTCTTGTACTACAGAGAGAAAACTATAACTAATTTAATTTATAAACCAGAGAAGTGTCCCCCGTTTTACGGGGATCGAAAGCCTTCAATGTCGTTTTTTTGTTATAGTTAAATGGTATTACGTTTAATATTCATTAGCTTGATTACCACGTTTCTATGAACCACTGCAGAGTAAGCCCATGTTCTTATTACAAACCAAACCAAAAAAATTTCCTAAACGAAAACTCAATTTCTAAAGAAACCGGATACCAAATTCAAACCCTACCATACCATATCAACGATATAGCATACACAAATGAAAAACATAAAAAACTATAGTCACTTAGTAATTCATGAATGAGCAGATAAAACCATTGATTCAATAATGTGTATGTAACCCACAACCTCTTTGTTCTCCAAGCGTTCCAACACCCCTTTACCCTTGTGAGAAAATTCACGACTACCCTCTTATGTTACCTCTCCTTAACCCTACACAAAAAAAATATGCATTAACTGAAAGAAAGTAAGTAAAATTATCGCATTGTACTTCCAAAATTTTTCTTTATCCGAACATACTTTGAAAACTCTACAATTATGGCATTGGAAATTACTATAATTTGGAACAATTTTCAAGGGTTAATTTCAGAAGAGACCTTCTATTTTGTGTTTTTTAATTAAACCCTAAATTTATTTTTTGCCTGAAAAAGACCTTGTATTTTTTTTCAAATATACCCCTTTTAGTCATTTTTAGCCAAAAAAAAAAAGATATTGTAAAATGTGATGGATTTTTTTAAGGAAAAAAAATTGAGGGTTTATTTGGAAGTATTTAGGAATATTTGACATGAATATGGAATATGTTAGCTTACTTGCACCAATTTTGGTAATAATGCATACACCTCTTTTAAGAGACAATGGAAGGAGCAATTCCATTTACTCTGAAATTGCATATACATAGAAAATAATATCAAAAAAATATTTTTTCAGATTCATAAAAAATGATGAAAATAAGAAATAGTACTTTCTTATAATGTTGTCGATCCCTTTCTGTCACAAGTTTCATCAATTTTTCTTGATCACTGCTCTGGATAAGAAATACCAAAAAATAGAGAAAAAATGGTTATAAAATAGTGATTATGACCATATGTTAAAAAAATGATTATCAAAAGAAAATGAAATCAATAGATGCAAAAATAAAATGAACCTGCAAATACCACAACAAAATCCAGTTGACATACCACTATAGCTAGCATATAAGTCCAATAGTGTTATTTCACACTCTTTAGAGTTCTCATCATTAATGGTGGGTGGATATGGAGAGTATTCATCTTCCATCGTGTCAACTATACCTTTACATCTATCAACAGTTGTCTGTCTTTCAATCACATCCTTCAACCATTGTGAAGGAGTTGCAAACCTTAAGTAGTAAGACTCCTGAGTATTTCCCCTAGTTCAACATTAAATAACATGCACTTTCAAGATTCAATGTCATCAACTTTTGTCTGATAACAAAAACATGTACTTGAACATGACCTTTGAACCACCTAAAGCACCTTTTTTTATGAACCAGCTAAAGCACCTTCTTTTATCATATGGGATGCACCCGCTTAAACGAAACTGCCTCTAGCTTTAAGCAATGTTCCATGGTTGCAGTCGCGACAGTTGATGATTTATACACCACTTCTGAAAATTAAAATAATTTTCAGAATTAGAAATTAAAAAAATGAATGTATCATTACAAAATAGAATCTAAATTACAGAAACCATCGATTGACAATTAGACTCATTCATATAAATTTTTAAAATGTCTACATAATTGAAACATGAAGAATATTTAATATATGACATATGTATATAATCCATAACACATGTTTAGTTACCTGATTGACTATCAGACATGATTGAGAGGCATGCTCTGTTTCATATACATATGTTTAAACTTGTGATAAATTCAAAGGAAGTAGTAATATGTAAAACCCAAAACAGAAATTGAAGAATACAAAGAGAAGTTATGACTTGGAAATCCAAATATGGAATTTCCTAATTGATTCCCGAAATCAAAATTGAAAGGCTTACGGAGTTTGCTTTGAAACCGAAGAATCAAATTAAGGTCCAAGCTCAGCATATCCCTAATAGACCGATGTCTGTTTATCCTAGAAGAAAACAAACCTGTAGCAAGAAAGCAACACCGGCACCAAGCCAGCCCCCAACCTTCGAAAATCAAGCGACATTGATTCTAATTAGTGGCACATGGAGGAGAAAGTCGGAGATGGACGTACAATCGATACCTTCTGCAACAGAAGTATCCACCAAGGAGGCCGTTATTTCAAACGTAATTGTGCGCCTTTGACCATGGAGGCTGTTGTTCTTCGTCTGCCTCTGCCTCACGTCAACTGTCTTCATCAAAAATTAAGGGTCCAACGAAGGAAATAGAAGTCTGTAGTTTTTTTTTTTTTTTTTTTTTTTTTTTTTTTTTTTTTTTGAGATCGCAAGTGAAAGGTACATTTGAGTTTTGTTGAAGAATGACGAATTAACGCAACGACCTACGCGTGTGATCGCAAGTGAAACAGAAGTATGACGAATTAACGCAAGTGAAAGGTACATCTGAGTTTTGTTGAAGAATGACGAATTAACGCAACGTACAGCCGATACCTTCTGCAACAGAAGTATCCACCAAGGAGGCCGTTATTTCAAACGTAATTGTGCGCTTTGACCATGGAGGCTGTTGTTCTTCGTCTGCCTCTGCCTCACGTCAACTGTCTTCATCGAAAATTAAGGGTCCAACGAAGGAAATAGAAGACTGTAGTTTTTTTTTCTTTTTTTTTTGAGATCGCAAGTGAAAGGTACATCTGAGTTTTGTTGAAGAATGACGAATTAACGCAACGACCTACGCGTGTGAGTATAAGTGACCAGAAACCGGAACTGTTCCTAAACCTTTAAATACCAGTGCTCAAAATATACGTGGGAATAAGTGGAGTAGAAGCTTAAAGGCGGTGTATGATGGGGAGGACACATATCACCCCACCGACCCACATATTTTCCTTAACCGGAGAAAAAAAACGAAGCCAAAAGGAAAAAAAATAGTTAATGGGAAGACAACACTGTTACTTAAGGAACAAACAATTAATATTATTATAAATTTTAAAATAACCATTAGAAGATAGAATGAATCAAAATAGGGGAGCCAGAAAAACATATTCACATAAACTTAAAAGAAACGATGAATGTATTTCTTAGGGTGTGACAAACAAATACAAAATTAACTATTCATAAGGATCACATCATTGATATATATATATATATATATATATATATATATATATATATATATATATATATATATATATATATATATATATATATCCGATAAGAAATTTTTTTGGTAGGAAGGTAAGAAGTTTTTTTTCTATATATTTTTTTGACGAACAAAAAAAATAAATCACTAAATGATTCATTTGTAAGATGATTCACAAGAAAAAATTCTCAAAAAAACATCTTTATGATTCATTTTTAAGTAAATTAAGAAAAAATTAACTTTTATGACAATTTTAGTGAATAACAACAAAATCATTATATAAATGAATCATCGAAATGTTTTTTTGAGAATTTTTTGTTGTGAATCATCTTACAAATGAATCATATAATGATTCATTTTGTTTGTTCGTGAAAAAAATATGTAGAAAAAAAACTTCTTACCTTCCTACCAAAAATTTCCTTCTTATTTGATCTTGACTATATATATATATATATATATATATATATATATATATATATATATATATATATATACATATATATATATATATATATATATATATATATATATATATATATATATGGAAAAGTGAATATACCCTTAAGGGTATATAAGGATAGGTACCCTAACCCACCTTAATGAATCGTTTTGTTTGATATATTTATTATAAAGTTCTTAAACTTCAACCCTAACTTGATTTACTTTCAAGATTTTCGTAATTTCACTATTATTTTTCTCTTACATCATATCTTTATGTCGAACACATATTGGGCTTTATATGTTATAGTTAAAAATTAAAATTATGTAAGAGGAAGAAAAATATAAAATTTATATAAATCTTGGAAATAAATCAAGTTACAAGTTGAATTAGAATAACATTGAACAATTACAATGTGTATATACGATACAAAATAAAATAATATTGTGAGTTTGGGTACCTAAGCTTATATATACCCTTAAGAACAAAGGATATGAAAGATTTTGTATCTTGAAACAGTCTGATTTAATGTCTACAGTTTCATACAAAGAACATGTCTTCTTGTGGCTAATAAGAAATCTAATTGTACAAAAAGCTTAATGCTGAAACTTTATCATGTCTACAATATTGTTAAATTTTTCACGATTAACTTTCCATACAAACCTTGAACGAGTTGATGCGCACCGTTTGGATCATGCCTTTTATTATTTTTATATTCAAGATTTTTTTTGTTATTTTATAATATAAAATATATAGCTATTTTGCTATTTGTTTGTATTTATATATTAATACCTATCGATAAGAACAAACACATATCGACATAATTTCTTATGGTTTTATTCTCGCATTAAAAGGTTTTAGTACTTCATTGTTTATTTCCTTAAGATAATTACACTTTAAGATGTTATCAAATAATTTTTCTGTAAAATGAAAAATAATAATTTAATGAATTTGATATAAATGGAATAAATTTGATAAAATTAAAATCGAATCGAAATAAACTAATGAAAATAACAAAAAAACTAAAAACGGTATCCTTTTTGAATTAGATTTGAATCGATGGAGAATAAATTGAACTTTTGTTTGTTCCAGGCAGGCGACCGACCTGTGAAGTGTTAAAGCTTTCCTCCACCCTTCCACACATTCTCTCTCACACACAAACACACACTACAACCCCTCTCTCTACATCTCCACCATCAAAACGCGTCCGTGGGGTAACGCCCTCTTCGTTTCTCTCTCTGAGGTGTGTTTCATCTTCAATTTGGGGAGTGGGGGGCCAGGTATTCTAAAAATCAAGTTCAATTTTGAAACTGGGTTCGAGTCTTTTTCATGATTACAAGAAATCATATTACCGTTAGGGTTTTCTGAGTTGTGGGTGTTTGTTTCTTGTTCAAATTCTTTCTGAGTTTTGCGCAATCGGAAGAACTTGGACATGAAGCGAACTAAATTAGACTGGTTCATGTCTTTAAGACAGAAAAGATCGATTCAGTTTCTGATCGGTTTAGGATTTTTGTATCTGCTCATGGTTGGTCTAGAAGTTCCCTTTGTGTCGAAAATAGTTAGTCAAGAAGACGAGTCTAGTGTTTTCTTCTTCTCTGACAAATTCTCCAAAAAACCCTACGCCCTAGACAGCGAAGAAGAATTACAAGAAAAAGAAGCCCCGATTCGCCCTCTAAATCTCCCTCAAATCGCTGCCAAAATCCCTGTTAGTTCCAGGCATTCTCGAAAAATCCGTGAGTTCAAAGCTTTATCCACGTTGAATTTCGACATCAATAGTTTGAACGGCGAACCAAAAGATGGATTTGGGGGCATTCAAAAATCTGCAACGGAAGCTTTTTCGGTAGGGAAGAAGTACTGGGAAGAACTCGAATCGGGTAAACTTAAATTACCCTCGGAAAACATCACCATCAACGGTGTGAAAAACAAAACCAGAGAGAGTTGCCCTAATTCGATCACACTATCAGGGTCTCTTTTCCGCGAAAAAGGAAGCATCATTGTGCTCCCTTGCGGAATGACATTGGGATCACATATAACTCTTGTGGGTCGACCTCGAGAAGCTCATCCCGAGCAGGACCCAAAGATTTCGTTGTTGAAATCCGGCCAATATTTGATGGTGTCGCAGTTCATGATGGAGTTACAGGGCTTAAAAACCGTCGATGGTGAAGACCCACCAAGGATTTTGCATTTTAACCCTAGGTTAAAAGGCGATTGGAGCGGAAAGCCTGTGATTGAACAGAATACATGTTATCGAATGCAATGGGGATCTGCTCATCGTTGTGAAGGATGGAAATCCAGAGCTGATGAAGAAACCGGTAAGTCCTAAATCCCAATTGAATTCCAGACCTAGTTTCATTCACCTTCAAACCATCTTCCGTTTTCCTTACCTAATCTTTTTGCTTTTTTTTTTTTTTTTTCTTTCTAGTTGATGGTCAAGTGAAATGTGAGAAGTGGATCCGTGATGATGATGATCACTCAGAGGAGTCAAAATCAAGCTGGTGGTTGAACAGGCTCATAGGTCGAACAAAGAAGGTGACTTTTGACTGGCCTTACCCTTTTGCAGAAGGGAAGCTATTCGTGTTAACTCTCAGTGCAGGATTAGAGGGTTATCATGTAAACGTTGATGGAAGACACATTACTTCATTCCCATATAGAACTGTAAGTACCATTTGGGCTATTTTCGTCATTTTGATAAACTATTCTCTTATATTTCCCACTTTCTACCAGGGTTTTGCATTGGAAGACGCCACTGGTTTGGCTTTGAATGGAGATATTGATGTGACTGCTGTATTCGCTGCATCATTACCCTCAGCACATCCCAGTTTTGCCCCTCAAAGACACTTAGAAATGTCAGATAAATGGAAAGCTCCACCTCTTCCAAATGAACCCATTGATCTCTTCATTGGTATTCTTTCAGCAGGAAATCATTTTGCTGAAAGAATGGCTGTTAGAAAATCTTGGATGCAACATAATCTTATTAAATCTTCACACGTTGTCGCCCGTTTCTTTGTTGCATTAGTAAGTACCACACTTAACACATGCTTTTCAAAATTCTTACTTTAGCTTTACACATCAACTTTACACAATTTGTTCTTCATGTCAGCATGCAAGAAAAGAAGTGAACTACGAATTGAAGAAAGAAGCCGATTTCTTCGGCGATATTGTCATTGTGCCTTACATGGACAATTATGACCTTGTTGTCTTGAAAACCGTTGCTATATGTGAATATGGAGTTAGTTCTACTTCTATCTGTCACTCTTTTCATCAGAAAATGTTGGACCCCACACTAAAATTTGGATGTTATTTTAATTTTTAATTCAGGTTCGAACTGCATCAGCTAAATATATCATGAAGTGTGATGATGACACATTTGTTAGAGTTGATGCTGTTCTTAATGAAGCAAATAAAATAGGAGAAGGGAAAAGCCTATATGTAGGAAACATCAATTACTATCATAAGCCTCTAAGATATGGCAAATGGTCTGTTACATACGAGGTACCAATTCCATTCCATTCAAGATTCCGATTCCGTTGACAGATTCCATTCCTTTTACATTCCAAAACCTTTGTGTTTCAATTTGTATGTGTTTTTTTTTTAAATCAGGAATGGCCGGAAGAGGATTATCCACCATATGCAAATGGTCCAGGGTACATTCTATCATCAGATGTTGCAGAGTTTATTGCAATGGAGTTTGAGAAGCATAAATTGAAGCTGTTCAAGATGGAAGACGTGAGTATGGGAATGTGGGTAGAGCAGTTTAATAGCACAAAAAAACGTGTAGAATATGTGCACAGTTTGAAGTTTTGTCAGTTTGGTTGCATTGAGGAGTATTATACAGCTCATTATCAGTCTCCTAGACAAATGATGTGCATGTGGAACAAGCTACAACGCCATGGACGCCCTGAATGCTGCAACATGAGATGACACCTTTTGAATAGGAGGAATGTAGTGGGCCCAATCAAGATAGCTCTCTTTCCCTTTTGAGATTCTTTGATTATTTTGTTTCTTTATCTCCCTTTCCCCTTTCTTTCTCAGATGGGGGATTTATATAATGGGGAAGTTTTGATACAACAGGAATCCTTGGGGTGTGGGTCATTGTAATGTAATTTACTGTAGAACTGGAGGAAAAAAAAAAAAAAAAAAAAAAGATTTTGTTGGACTTTAATCTATGACTACATCTTTTCCATTCCCTCATTCATCATCTATGTTGTAAGAAAATGTTTCTACAAAATTGTTTTTTTCACCCGTGATTTGGGCCCACATTATAAGACTACATAATATATGAGATGTAAATCAAGGATACAACAATACCAGTATATATAAGGTTCAAAACCGGATAGTAATGTTTTTCCATGTCAATAAGAAATAGTACTTGAAGACATCAATATTACATAGGTGTAAAGACTCGAACTAAACTCGTAATCTCAAGTTATTATGGAGGGGAGAAGACCAATACAAGGAAAAACAAGAGAAGCAGAAAGAGACTCTTGAAGGAACTCTTCAATATGTTTGCACTTGAATTACGAGTGGGTGTCAATGGACTGGTGGTGGGACCCGTGGTTGGAGTTTCATATTCGCAAGTGTAACCACAGCGGCTTGGAGGAACGATTCTATACACGCCGCTGCTTGATAATAGATATATGTCCTTGTTGTTATCCTGCCCGAATGAAAACAGGTAGCCTAGGGCAGGGAGTGAACTGCCCGGGACAAGGCTACATGGTTCTGGAGAATCCTTTGCACATGTGAATGAGATATTGTTTACCGTAAAAATCCCGCTATTTTCAGGCGTTTCGACGCCTGCCCACATCTCATGTGCGTATAGATCTCCGTATAAGTAACTACATATTACCAACATTCAATGTTATTTATCATATACGCAGACATATCATTTCTGTGAAAGGGTTAGTCTTTTAACAATTGAATTGTGTTTGATGCAGAAAACTCTCATTATTTTAAGAATACTTTTAATATAGTACCGAAAAAAATTGAACTAAAAAATCATGATTATTTAAGATTTTACCTAAATTAACAAAAGTTATTTTTTTTTAACAAGAAATGAAAGATTATGTGATTTTCTGAAAATAATGTGATTTTTTTGTTAAAAAAAAAATTTGAGACTATCAATTTTTTTTTTCAAAATAACGAAACTTTTCTGTGTCACAAATATTATATGAGAAAATTCATGAAATGACCACAGAAAAGGGATTGTTTGAAGATTTTAACCATGAAAAATCATGTTTTGTAAAATGACCATGACTTCCACAGAGAGGGTCTCTGCGGAAACCTTAAACATCCGAGGAATGGTACTATCTCTGTGGAATTGAGGTGACAGGAGTAATATTGTAAAATCACAAAAAAAAAAATCTGGTTCCTACTTGCTTGGCTGCAGAAGTACGAACGACATAGGCCGTTAGGGGGGACATTGCTGCGAAACGAGGGTCGGAACACGAACAATCGAACGATCGAAGAAAGATTGTTGTTAGAGATTATTACGTTTTTTTTAGTACAATTATCTTTCTTGAATCAATTATATGTTCTTTAGGTGTATCCTAATTTAATTGATAAGAAACAGTTAGAAAATCCCGATTTTTGCCACGATTAGCCGAAAAATCAAGGTTGCTAAACTCGCTATTCGGTACCTACTCGGCCGACTACCGAGTAGCGAGTACTTGGATTCGGTAATTCGTGTAGAAATTTTTGTTTAAAAAAAATTATATGTCAAAATCGTAAGTTAAAATCATAATTTCATTGAAATATATAGCAAAATTAGATACATGTGAATGCATAAAACTTAAAACCTAAAATACACACAATTGTCTCTATTCATGAATAATTACTAAAAATTTAAGATATATGTATAGTAATAATCATATGTGTGAGTTAAATAATAAATCATTAAGTGTATTATACATATTAATCATGAAATTATTATTTTTTTCTCTTTTTGTGATAATTTTGACATTTCGATCAAGTTTGACCGAGTTCGATCGTGTAAGCCCAAGTAAAACCGAATTAGAGAGATATTAATCGATTTTTTACCGAGTTTGGCTTAATCCGAGTTTTTTTTTTTGCCGAGTTCACAAAACTGACCTCGGTGGAGGGCCCGATTCCGAGTACTCAGCCAAGTAGGCCAATTTTTATAACACTGCAAAAAACAGTTCCTCAGACTGTGTGGATGAAGAACAGATCTTCAGAGGATCTTTCTGCAAATACACAGAAGCTTCTGGGGAATTGATTTTTTTTTAAAATTGTTTTTTTTAACTTTTTTTTCCCCTACTACCTCATTTTTTCATTACCATTCACATTCCTCAGAGCTATAAAGTTTCCGCAGAAAGGATCTCTAGGGAAGTCATGATCATTTTATAATTCTTAGTTTTTCATGGTTAAATTCTTTATAAAAGGTCTCTGGGGAAGTGGTATGGTCTTTTTATAAATTTTAGTTTTTTATGGTTAAATTCTTTATATAAGCTTTCATGAATTTTCTCAAATCATTTGATATGACTAGGTACGTAAGTATCTGTCCAATAATAATACTTCCAACAATCTCTTTGCTATCCTAGAGATTGTTGGAAGGATGCGATTCTGTGTTAATGGAAGTAAGGATCTTGACTTATTTACCTTCCATGCAAGCATGGGTCGGTTGTGGACCGATAGAAAAACCCTCCGGTGATTGAAGCTGAACCTTCGTTCTTGTTTATATCAGAGTGTTTGTATCCCATCACCGGAAAAACAGGGTTTATAGAAGTCACCGACGTGTTTCCTCCGGGACTTTTTTCAGGAGTGTAAATGGTGGGTCCCTCATAAACCCGCCACCCATAGTTGCCATTTCTTGTGATCATATCCACCTCTTCGTATTCGTTCTAGTAACAGATGAAAAATGTTAACAGGTTTATAAACATTAAACATAGTTTCAATAGTCAAAGGAGAATATTAAGGGGGTATTTGAGATTTCTTTTCAAAACCAAAAGTCCTTTTTATAAAAGTTTTTTTTTTTAAAAGTTAAAAGATGGTTTTAAAAATATTTGGATGAAATTTCTTAAAATGTTTTAAGTTCTTTTCTTAACTTTTGAATTTTAAAAAACCTTCTTTTTCTTTGGATAAAAAGTTATTTTCAAGAGTTGTTTTCTAATTCCTAAAAATCTTTTGAATTTTTTTAACTTTTTCAGAAAACTAAGTAAAAAAGTTATTTAATAATATGTAATACCAGGCCTACGTCTCCACACATGAAATACGAAGGTCTTTCTGCGTCAAAGCTGCATCGCCATGGATTACTAAACCCTAAAGCCCAGATTTCTGGCAGCAAATCTTCATCTTCAAGATACGGATTGTCTCTTGGGATTGAATAGTTTCCCCATAATCCCAAACTTGTAATTTCCGATTCACCTGGATTTAGACTTGAGAGTTCAAATTTTGATAAATAAAGATTTGACTTCATTAGGTCAAATCATAATCTTCAAGATTCAAAGTTTATGTTGATTTTATTATCAAACTGGACACAAAATTTTCTTCTTGGCATATCGTTTATGAAAATCTACTCTTCCCTTTAAGAATTTCTAAAGTTGTAAAACAGTTCGACTCAAATTTGAAACCGAAATTCAATACTGTTGACTTCAAAAGTCAAATGCGTCTTCTTTCTCAAACTTACTGGGTATTTTATCGACATCAAATCTCATAATCTTCCCAAGTAACGACTTCTTGCTCTGTGCAAAATTGTAAGGATCACCTCCTCCACCATCTCCCATCATGAAATACAAGTAACCATCGTCTGGTCCAAAAAGAATTTGTCCACCATGGTGAGACGTGAACGGAAGACCCATCGTGAATATCCTCCTCGTTTCCACCGGTGAAGCCACCGGAATCTGCAGAAAAAACAGACTCCAAATATAATAAACACCTGATATTTATCCTTCCATCTTATGTGATCGAAAACTTACTACAGATGCTCGTGAGGATGACGTCCCATTAACGGTGTATTCCGCCACCACGGTTTGATACCGGCAAGGCTCGGCGGCGTCATCCGGAGGTAGCTTTGAAGGGTCGCATTCTACGTCGGAGTTACACGCACACCTTCCGGAGCAACGTGGATTTTCGGATTTGTCACAGTTGAATGAAGCAAAGAACCTCCCATTTTGAGCGAAATTTGGATGCAAAGCTATCGACATCAACCCGAATTGAGTATCGAAGTAAACCTCATCCGTCAAATCCAGAAACGGGTTGGACTCATCAAGATCCAACCCACGTCCAGACCCGATTTCAGGAACTGTGACTAACCAAATTTGGCCTTTTTGGTTGGAGAAGAAAGCCCGGTTCGACCCGTCAGTGTGACCCGCCATATCAAGGTATGAACCGTTGCCGATTTTCTCCAAACACATGCCAGTTGGAGGAGCTTTGGTGCTGTTGGTGGTTATGTTTAGTTGGACTTTTTCCCCATTGAAGCAGACGGAATCTTCGAGTGAAGGTCCTCCAACTACGTTACAAAAATCCGATCTTGATTGCCAGATGTCAGTGAGCTTGTTGCTTGAATTGGCTGGTGTTGGAGCTTGACCTTGTAACAATGGCGAAAATGGTGAATTTCTTACGGATACATTCTGACAGGTGTCCCATACTTTTTCACAGAAATTGTTGTTAGCTTGGTTGGTTTGTGATGAATTTGAGGAAACTGTAGAGTTGCAGAGCACAGGAACTTGTCGAGGAACGGTTTTAATGGTGAAAAGCTCCGCTGAAAATGGATCGCATCGCTGAAAAATGAAAACATTCAAGTTTTTCTTGATTCATAAAACCCAAAACTTGCTTAAAATCCAAACATTCAAGTTATAACCAAGAAACTTACAGAACAGAGGATTGATTTGAGAAGAGAAGCACAAGCAGGTTGAGATACATTCATCGATTCAAACTGCTTCTGTATATTCTTATCTTGTACAGAATCGCAGCACGAACTGCCATTGTAGTTACAGAAAACCAGAGGAGTCTTGGGTTTAAGTGGAGCACCTGTTATATATACACAAGAATCATTAGAAACATAAACAAAATTATAAACCGGAAGTTCGCTAAAACGTAATGGGGTTTCTGAGAAATTGATTACTTGAATCTGTACACAAAGGAAGTGAAAGAGCATGAGTGATGAGCAAAGTTACAGAGATGAAGAAAAT